CTTTTATAATATATATATATATATATAATATATAAAATATATAATTTATATACCAAAATACTAAACATATAATATAATAATATTAAACATATAATATAATAATATAATTTTTTATTATTTTATTTTATATATATAAAATATATAATTTATATAAAAACACTAAAAATATGAACGAACACATAAAATTATGCAAAATTACAAAAATACTAAACTAATAAAATATTTAGTATTTTAAAACAATTTGGCCATAATGATAAAGGTTGTGATTAAAGTTCAAATTCCATCTCACTTACTGAGGATTCTGTGAGAAATACATTCTACTTATCATCATCGGGTAATCAAAAGAAAACGCCTAAGTCTTAGGACTGGTCAAAATGGAGTGTCTACACTTGGTCATCACCTATAAAAATGTTGGAATTTGTTTTGGTTAGTTTAATTAAATTTTGCAATTTGGTTCAGTATTAAACAAGAGTTTACCTTGTGTATAAAATGTGTCAGATTTCTCTTGGAGTTTTTCTTGTTGCTCTATCCTTTTTTCTTCTTGTTGTTTTGCTTTTTCTTTTCTTTTTTTTTTTTAATGTTGTTTTTGTTGTTGGTCGGTCTGTCGGTCAGTTCTTATTCATTGACTTCTTGTTGTTGGTTTGTTTGTTTTTCTTCTTGTTCTTGTTGTTGGTCTTCTTGTTCATCAGTGTCTTCTTGTTCATCACCTTCTTCTTTTTCTTCATCATCGTCTTGTTATTCATCAGCTTCTTTTTCTTCTTCTTCTTCTTCTTCAGTCTCTCGTTTTTTTTCACCACTCTCTTCTTCTTGTGGTTCTTGCTTTCTTTTCTTTTCTTTCTTTTTTGTTGTTGTTCTTGTTCTAATTCTAATTGGTGTTCTTTTTCAAGAAAGTCATTCTCATCATTGTCTAAATTTTTTTTTTTTTTTTGCTTTTGTTTGTTTTTTCTGCTTATTGTCTTTTTTTGTGGTCATGCTTCTTTGTTGAAGAGTCTGTTGATGTGTTTTGATTGATATGCAATAACTGTATTTATTATTCAGTTGGGGTTAAAGCACTTTGGTCAACTTGCATTGGAACAATATGGCATGTATCAGTAATACTGTAAAATTGGTCAGTTTCATAACATGATTTATACTGTGAGTAACGTGAGTTAAGTGTTGAAAATATGTTGTTTGAAACTGCAAACATTTACAGTTACATAACACGATTGTTAGTGTAATGAATGTGAAAAGATTGTTGAATAGATTCGTGTGTTGAAACTGCAAATTTTTGTAGTTTCATAAGATGAGTGATAGGAGTATTAAATAGGTGTGTGCTTTGAAACTGTAAACTTTTACAATTTCATAACATGATTTATACTGTAAGTAATGTAAGTTAAGTGTTGAAAATATGTTGCTTGAAACTGCAAACTTTTATAGTTTCATAACATGATTGTTACTATAATGACTGTGAAATGAGTGTTGAATAGATTTGTGCTATGAGAGTATATAAGGGTTTGAATACTTTTTTAAAGTCAGCAAGGCTGATGTGTTTCCACTTGGAGTACATTTTGCCAAGGTTGCACTTCATAAACCTTGGGAAGCCTTCTTTGTTGGATGGTCGAAGGAGTTTATTGTGCTCACAGTACCAGTACTATAGAAAAAAAAATTGAAATATGTTAGATAGTTTGAAATAGTTAGATGTTTGATATTTTGTGTGAAGTAGTTGAGTAGTGCATTTACCAAGAGTAACATGACGCATCTAGTGACATGCCTTGGGTTGTTGTTTGTATTTGTCATTGAATTCATCAGTGTGTCTTTTATTGCCTCAACCCAATTGTATTTCTTGATGTTGTTGAGATTGTCAACATAGTTGAGGAAACTCCAACTAAGTGTATGGCCTGTTGTAGGCATGCGAAGTTTCAGGCACAAGTAAAGGGTGATGACCCTTGCAAGATCTTGACGATCATTAGTTAATTTTTCATTTTTTGTTTGTTGAAACATTTTAGTCAATGACTTGGCATCCAATCTTTTTATTGATTTGTATCTTCGTTTGTAAAATGCGAGCTCAAAATCCTTTGGTCTTGCATAGGATTTGGTGATGATGCTGTCGTCTTCACAGTTGATACCAAAAATGAGCCTCATATCACTATTTTTGTGTTTCATTTCCTTTTTGCCAATTATAAATGCTCTTTTTTGTTGTTGTTGTAGAGTGTTGTCATTTTTGCTACAATGGAATTGTAGCATTTGCATCAAGAGACCTTCAGTTGTGTTGAGGAGAGAGAATTTATAATGGGCCAAAAAGGGATTTTTTTGCAGTTCTGTCTGTTAGGCTGTTGTGAATTTGATCCCCTTCAACAGTTTGATTACCGTTCCGATGTTGGAATGGTAATTAAACTGTTGGACTCTCTTTGCAGGGACTGCACATTTTTTCCCTTTTGACGCCTTGGTTTTTGTTTCGGGAGTTGATTGGCTTTCTTGGAGTTTTCTCTTCTTTTTTTTTGTTGGAGGAGCTTCTTGTTTTTTTGTTGGCTTTCTTTTGTTTGTTTTTGTTGTGGTTGGAGGTGTGGTTGGTGTTTGTTGTGTGGGTGTGGTCTGTGGTGTAGTTCTTGGGCTTTTCTTGTAGGTAATGTGATTGTTTTGTGGGTTTTTTTGTTGTAGTGGTTGGATTTTTTGTGGAGGGAGAGATGGTGGCATTTCAGTGGATACATGTGAAGGACTGTCAAAAGGGGAGATACTTAAATCCCTGATTGGATTTTTGGGCATATTAGTTTGTTTCTTCTAATATCTTCCAACAACTATTTCTGAAAAAAACGAAAACAACAGCAGGGCATGAGTAATATAGTGACAAAACTGTATAATTTTGCAGTTTTATATGCAGTTTCATATGAAGTTATATCTATTTATTGTTAATAGTTACAAAATTGTATAATTTGGCAGTTTGATTTGTACTTTATAATAAGTTACTTATTTTTTTTGAATAGTGATTAAACTGTGTAATTTTACAATTTTATTTGTAGTTTGAATAAATTTAGATATGTTACTTGTAGAGTAATGAAACTGTTTGTTGTTTCAGTTTTATAAACACTAGCAACAATAAGAACAGCCCATTGTATTTTGTAAACAATAACAATAACAACAAGAAGATTAAGTATTCAACGAAATGTAGCAACAATATGAAGAAGAAAAACCAATATTTAACAACAAGAAGAAGCAACAACAACAAGAATAAGGACAATGAGTTGAATGTGTAAAAATAAGGATTTATGTGTAAAAACAAGGGGATTAAAATGTTTAAAAACAGGGGACTATAATGTTTTAAAACAGGGGATTATATATAAAATTGGGTTTTATACATTTTGAAGTATGTAAAATGTGTTTTACAAGTTTTTTTATTTATTTATGAAAGTGTTATTGAAACGGTATGATATATACAAAATATTAAAGAATAATGTAAAAATTTAAATGAAAAATAATAGGTGAAGAGAGATGTTACTTTTCCCCTCAAAAAAAAAAAAAAAATTTATGTGAATCGGAAGTGAAGAACTAGGAAATTTCTTTAGAGTTGTGATGGTTCTTCGTGTTGTTGAGAGTCGCCGATTAGAGGAGATGAACAACTTCGTGTTGTGTTGGTGAGAGTCGACGATTGGAGAGGATGAACGGGTTTGTTTTGTGGTTAGGGTAGGGTTTCAGAAGTAGTGGAGTCAGACGGTGGAGAGATGGAAGACTGAGAATGCAAAAGTGAGTGGCGGAGATGTGACAGTATATTGATCAGACTGGTGTGAGATGATCGTGGGTGAAGGTTGCGCGCGTGTAAATTAGATGATATGTATGGATATTTTCGTCTGATCCCTGTTTGGTAGAACTGTGAGAAAGCGATTATAGTTTATAGTTTAACAGTTTATACCTTATAACTGTGAACATAAGCTGATTTTTGACTTATAAATTAAGGGTTGGTTTGAGATTTATAAAAAAGTATACTTTTTAACTTATTGGCTTATATGGGTTAGGTTTGATGTGATGTGTTAGAGAGGTGATGTGATTTAAATAAGATGATGTGACTTAAATAGGATAGTGACTTTTTAACTTTTTGTATTATTTAGTTTATACCAAACCAACCCTAAGCTTCTCATCCTCCACTTAAAGAATAAATTGATTTTTGACTTATAAAAAATTATAAATTATATTATTAAATTAAACTAAATATATTAAAATAACTTAAATTAAAAATAAATCCTACCAAACAGATCATAATATGTTGGGCTTAAATCGTTGGGCGACTTCCCCTCTCTTATTTTTCTCATCGTTTCCCGAGAAAACGAGTTCAAAGAAAAAGAAAGAAAAGAAAACAAGCTTTCTCTTCCTTCAAATCTCGTCATCGTCCCCAATCCACCCACTGCCTTTCCCAAACTCTCTCTGCAAAACAATGCAACAAGGTGACTATAGCTCTGTTTCCTACTACCAATACCCTCCAAACCCAAACCCAAACCCAAACCCAAACCCAAACCCAAACCCTAATCCCCCAGTCGATCGTCACCACCCAAACCCTTTGCCATCGACCTACGCCTCTGCACCTCCCTTCTCCACCACCTATTCTCCCTCCGATTACCCATTCACCCATTCACCTTATCCCCCAAATCCCGATCTTCTCCCTCCCATTGCTCCTTCATACAACCCAATTCCAAACCCTAACCCTAACCCTAACCCCAATTTGCAGTCCTTCACTCCCTCCCCGTTTCAACCTTCGTCTTCTTTCCCATCATACGATCAGCATACCCCGTACCAACGAACCCCCCAGCAACAACCCTACGATCAGCATCACACGGCTTCTCCATCTTCGTTCCCTCCAAACCCTAATCCCAATGCGTACTTGTCCCCATACAATTACCAAGGCTCTTCAGTTCCATCGGTATATGAGAATTCGTATGAGAGTAATGTGAAATTTGATCCAAGTGGGGGCTATTTTGATGATCCTTCAGGTGGGTTTGTAGGTGGTTATGGTCGGAGTCGGTCCGATTTGGGTCCGGATTTATATGGGAAACGATCGGACGTTGATTCGGGTTCATACCGTGACAATGGATATGGTGATGGTGTGTATGCTTATCAAGGGGGTAAGGTGGAACCGTATGGTGCTCGGGGCACCGCACCCAAGTCTTCGACTTGGTCAGCTTTCGATGATTTTGGAAGGCCAATTAGTGTCCCCCCTGCGAAAGATCATCGGAGTTCGGCCAAGATTGTGAGGGCAGTCCCTAAGGCTGATACCCAGCAAGATGTGAAAAGTGGGGTGCAGAAGTTTAGGGTTAAGCTCTTGCCAGAAAGTGGAAGCCAGAGCACAGTGGATGTTCTTTGCCAGGTTTAAAGGAAACCCTTTGTGTTCATTTATTTGTTTTGCTTGTTTTGTGTTCTGTTATTTCAGGGAAGTATAGAACCAGTGTTTATTTTATTTTTATATTTGAAGTATTTGCAAATTGCAACATTTATAACTTTGCATAATCTTTGTTTAAATGTGATTCAGCCTGTTCTCTTGTCAAAACAAAATTGACCAAATATTAGAACGAATTAACTTCATGAAAGTTTTTGGGTGACATTAGCTTGATTATGTTTTTTGTTCTGGATTTTTGTTATGCTGACTATGCTACAAAATTTGATGTGTTTGGTTTGATTATTCTTGTCCATGTTCCTGTCTAATTCTAATTGAATAGCTCCATTTGTTTTTCAAAAACTTTGGAGTGAGAACAACATCATTATGACAGTGTCAGTTATAGTGATGGGCGGCATTGCATCACATTTCTGCAGTTGCATTCCACTAGTTATGCTGATGGTGCCCATTTTATTGAGCAATAAATTTCTGGAAACTATAATGAAAAGCTTCCAATTTCCACTGGTTGTCCAAACAGGCGCTTATATAGTTGGATTTTTGGCTTACTTATTTCTAGGATTGTGGGGATTTTACTGACTTGGGGACCCATAGTAGAAAAATTATTATTCCAGTAGTAGAAAAGTTGTTATTTATGGAGGTTTGGTATGGATTTGAGTGTATAATATGCTCCTTTTCTTTCAATTGGGAGCTTTTAAATTTCTTTGTATATCTCCTAGGAAGCACAGACACTTCAAGATGGGTGCCACACTAAGAAGTAAGGACACTTCTAAGAAGGTGACGTATTTGTGTCGTGTGTGTGTCGGACATTGATACTCTTTGGACACTTTCCCGACATGTGTCTGGCAGTTTTCAAAACGTGTCCTATTTTTTAATTTTTCTTAAAGATCCAGACACTTGGAGGACACATGTGTCTATCGCTTAAATACACGTGCCTATTGATTAGGCACAGGTGAGACTAATTATAAGTTCCAACAAAACAACTTCAAATACAATAGTAAAATAAAAACTATATAAATTTATAGGAATTAATGTCATATTACATTTTGTTATTATTTTTGAATAATATATTCATATATATAATATATAATAAATATATAAAATTATATATTTCATGCGTGCCCTCCACGTGTCGTGTCCTGTATTTTTGAAAAATTGGTGTGTCGGCGTGTTCGTGTCATATTCGTGTCGAGTCTCGTGTCCGTGTACATGCTTCTTAGGTGCCATATGTAGATCACCAACACTGTATGGACACACGTGTTACATAGCATGTCAATTGTTTTAATTACTATTCTTTGTAGGACATGTTGGGGGGACACTTCATAGGCGCACGTGACCAGTGTTTGGACTCATCTCATGACACCTTTGTGTGTGTGTGTGTGTGTGTGTTTTTAATTTGATTTGAAGTCCAGTAAAATATATGGAAACAAATAAGCGGAAAGTGAAAAGAAACAATAATACACCCACATATTCATCTGTCGGCGTGTTCGTGTTATATTCGTGTCGAGTCTCGTGTCCGTGTACATGCTTCTTAGGTGCCATATGTAGATCACCAACACTGTATGGACACACGTGTTACATAGGATGTCAATTGTTTTAATTACTATTCTTTGTAGGACATGTTGGGGGGACACTTCATAGGCGCACGTGACCAGTGTCTGGACTCATCTCATGACACCTTTGTGTGTGTGTGTGTGTGTGTGTTTTTAATTTGATTTGAAGTCCAGTAAAATATATGGAAACAAATAAGCGGAAAGTGAAAAGAAACAATAATACACCCACATATTCATCAATGCCTGTCATATATGTGTCCTAATTTTATATTCATGTAGAAAAAAATAAAAATATATAATTTTTTTTTTGCTGTATCATTGCCGTGCCCATAACCTAATTTTTTGAAAATTGCTATGTTCTGTGTACGTACTCTTGTCTATATTTGTGCTTCTTAGTATATCTCAATGGCAGTGTGTGTATTATCTGTAGCTTAGTTACCTAATTCTTGTCAGTACACTAAACATAGGCAGCTTAACAATTTTTTTCTTGTCAGTACACTAAACATAGGCAGCTCAACAATTTTTTTCTTCTTTTTTACCGGGCAAGAATGTTGCAGTAACATCGTGTTGTGCGTGATAACTAGGCCCACAGTTGTGCAAACAGAGAGTGTCCGCTGCCTGCTTTTGGAAGTATTTTAAGCGATTAGGATGGTTTCTATATGCTTAGAGACTGTTGACACTGCTCCTTTTGTGTGCTTATAAATTAGGGCTGCAAACGAACCTAGTCGAGCTTTGCTGGGCTCGAGTTCGAGCTCGGCTCGTTTACTTATCGAGCTCGTTTATTGAGCTCGTGCTCGGCTCGATAAGAAACTGGGCTCGAGTTCGGCTCGGCTCGTTAACATTAATGAAACTCGAGCTCAGCTCGGCTCGGCTCGGCTCGGCTCGATAACTTTTGTTAATATTATTTATATTATTTTATATATTATTTAATATATAAATAATATATTTATTGTATAATTTAAATATAAATAAACGAGCCGAGCTTGACGAGCCGAGCTCGGGCGAACTCGATATTCGAGCCTAATATTCGAGCTCGAGCTCGGCTTGTTTAGTAAACGAGCCGAGCCTAGCTGAGCTTGTTCATGAACAACTCGGTTCATTTGCAGCCCTATTATAAATTCTTTCCTATCAATCCCAACTGAATCCCACCCACCCTGATGTATCCATTACTTGCTCTGTACATTACTTCTTTCTATTTAGTGAAGAATTCACACACGTCTTTCTCTTTTTATTGTTTATACTATAAGTTTCTGTGTGCAACTCATGTGTAATTATATTTTAAAGTTGAAGTTAACATCACTGACTGCAGTGCTACATTTTTTAGAAGTCTTAGTTTTGGACTGGGACGTTTTCTAATAACAAACACCCATTCACTTTTGGTTGACATGGAATTCTTATGAGTTTCACCAATGTCTGGGAGTGACTCTAGTCCTCTTCAGCAGAAATTGTCCTTTGAAATCATAGGACGTTCTTCCAGGCTTAATTGCTTTGTTACTTATTTATCTTTTTGGATGGGGTTCGGGTGGGTAAAAATGCTTGTTCTTGCATTGAAGTTTGTTTGATAGGTGACATATACATTGATAGTTCAGTTCAAAATATTTCACTTTATTGACTTTATTATTCACTCTGCTTGGCTTTGGTTCCAGAATTAACTTTTCAAAAAAATTTACTTTTTTATTTTCTGTATTTTTTTGTTTTCACTGATTTTTTAAAATATTTTAAATAATTTTTTTAATTTTTAGACACACCTAACATAAATACACTTAAAAAGTATAATTTTTGTGAAAAAAATCTTTAAAAAATTCACTAAATATCAAAAATACAAAAAATAAATAAATAGATAAAAATTCAGTATATTTTTCGTATTTTTGTGTATTTATTAGTTTTTAAAAATATTTTTTCACAAATATTTTACTTTTTAGATATATCTAAGTAAGGTGCATCTAAAAAAGTAAAAAAATGAGAAATTTAGTCAAAATCCCTCCATTGGACCCTTGTTTGGTGAAAAGGACGACCCAATTTATTTTGCTTCATAAATCTCATAAGAAGAAAATATATAATTGAGTAAGGACAAAGTTAAATATCTTTTTTTTTTCTTGGACAATATTGCTAGAATAACATGTTACTGTGCTAGAATAACATGTTACTGTCAAACAGAGTAACATGTTACTATGAAACAAAGTAATATGTTACTGTTACTGTTTACATCAATTTCGACGGTAATATTTATTTATTTATTTATTTTTTAAGAATTTCATAATCAACATAGATCTTATTTGATAGATCTTGATGAGAGAATTTTAAAAATACTAATTTTATTAAAAACCGAGATTTACATCAAAAGTTATATTATTTTAAAATTTAATATTTTGATAATAATGGTATGTGTTGGACTTTTCAAAGAAAATTTTTTGTGCTTGTCCTTGATGCATTTAAGTTTTATTATGAAGGGGTTTTTGACCATATCTCCCTAAAAAAATTACTTACAATTTTAAAAATATTCACTAAAAATAAAAAAACACGAAAAATAAAAAACTCAATTTTCAGAAAATTGAAACCAAACACACTGATTATTATTATTTTTTAATTTTTAATTTTTTTTTATGTCTTGTTTGGTCATCATCACCACCAATCTTGTTTCGTTCTATTGTCCTTTTCTCTGTGGGCGTGTCAACAATTTGTTCCCATCTTTGAACTGCTGATTGATTGTTAATGTCTTTTTCAGATTGGTTTGGATGGGATTCGTATGCTTGATCCCAATACAAGCCGAACATTGAGAATATATCCTCTTGAGGCGGTAACCAGATTCGAGGTATGCTGGTATCCTTTCTTTCTTAAATTATGGATTTTGTTTTACCATTGTTAATTGATTGTGTTTTTTCTTATTATTTAGGTGTTTGATCCATCCACCTTTGCATTTTGGTCCAAAAGTTCTGTGGATATTGAGCCAAGGCGTATCAGACTGCAGTCAAACAGTTATACTACCAACACTATTCTGGACATAGTAACAGCTGCCACTGTACAGGTTGAGAATCTTAATACTTGTGCATTGCGCACGTGCACGCGGGCGCACACATAGTTTTTGCCCCTTTTAAAAAAAATAATCTTGTAAGATTTGTGCTTATGATATTTAAATTCTTTTAATGCTTGATCAAAAAATAGCTCAAGGAGATGGGTGGAAGTAGCAACCCTTCTGATTCCTTGAAGCCGATTGAACAGCCTGCTGAGAAGAAGAAAGGTTTGGCTGATTGGATGAACTTGATGAAGCCTGGAAATGAGGAGAAAGATCACTGGGTAATTTTTGAGATTTTTCAGAATCATTTACTTCTCCGAAGAAATAGCCAAGTGTCTTGTTTTTTTCCATTACCTCAAGCCTCATAAATTAAAACTATTACATGAGCTTGTATTTTTTAATTGTATGTTGTGGTTATGAATGCATACTTGTAGAAGCATTACTTATTTTTTATGAATTGTACAATGTTTAAAGGAAAAAATTTATGCCAATTTTGTATTTTCTTTATAAATTTTTTTAGGGGTTTCTAGTCTTGAAGCACTTGAAAGTAAAGAAGTTCAACAAAAATTTGTAAAAAGTTCACTAAAGAAGAAAACCGAAAAAAGCATTTTCCAAAGCTAGTATAAATTAATACCAAAATGTTGACTTTTTAAGTTCAGACTTGCTGAAATGTCTTGATTTAAGTTCTGAGTTTTTTATTGCCATTTCATCATTTCTTAGGTTCCTGATGAAGCAGTTTCCAAATGTACAGCTTGTGGGACGGACTTCAATGCTTTCATGCGCAAGGCATGTCTCTTTTCATGAATAATAGATTATAGATCTTGCTTATTATTTAGTCTTTGCTTGAGATGGGAGGCACTTGTTTCATTTTTTAGGATGATTCTAACGAGTTTTTTTGTTGTTTTCAGCATCACTGCAGGAATTGTGGAGATATTTTTTGTGACAAATGTACCCAGGGTAGAACTGCTCTTACAGCTGATGAGAATGCTCAACCTGTTCGAGTTTGTGATCGATGCCTGGTGTGTACGAATTATTTGTTCATTTAATTTCACTATGATCATTCCTACTTCATTTCCCAGTTTACAAGGAGAAATATTCTATTATTATTACTATTATTTTGGGATTGTCTTACATCCACTAATGATGGGTTACTTTTTTGTATCATGGGTTATGTTATGTCAAGCCTGTTTATTTCTACTTTAAAAAGCCAATTTTAGCTTTAAAAAAAGCTGACTTAAAAAACGATATAAATTTAACCTAAAAAGTTGGCCTTTTCAGCTTATTTTAAGCTTTTAAGTTTGAAAAAGTAAATAAGTGGTACCAAAAACCTTGAAATTTCATGTATACCTACTAAAAAGCATTAATTTATACTCCCTTGTGCAGTACCCACACACACAAAAAACTGACTTGAACAAATTTTTTACACACTCGGTTCAAATTATTTGATGTCAAACAATGAGTCGCACATTTTAATTGTATGGGTGAATGGTTTGGCTCAGCCCATTTAAAGTCATTTTCTTTGTCCTTGTCAATACTTTTATGATCAACTTAACAGTAGGCTGCTTTGTAGCTTTTCATCTAAAAATTAATATGAACATGTTTGCTTGTGTGACACACTTGTGTCTCAACTAAAATATGCGCAACACTCCATTTCTTAGACTAGATCTTATTATGTGGGTGTTTGGGAAGTGAGTTTTTATGTAAGTTTTTTTAGTTGTAGGATTTTATTGGAGAAATTTTTTTTTGTGTTTGGGAAGGTAGTTGGGTTTTTATGTGGTTGGATGTGATGCTTGTAAGAGAAAAAGTGAAATGATTATGGGGTTAGATGTGATATTTTGTTTCGATGTGTTTTTTTTGGTTTTGCAAAAAGTTTGTCTTTTAGTGGAAAAAATCAAAAAAAATCTCAAACCCAAGTTGCCAAACGCCACCTATGTTGTGTTTCTCTGCAGGCAGAAGTTACTCAAAGGTTGAGTAATGCTAAGGAAGTAGCCAGCAAATCAGCTGGATTGCGGAGTCATGAGGATCTTGCCAAGAAGCTTCAGGTGATCAAGGATTTGAATATTTTGTCTTCGGTGTTCCTTGGGCCAGTTAGTTTCTGGTGGTCCTCAATGGTTATATTTATTTATTTATTTTTATGGTAGCTTAAACTTCTTGTACAATGAAGTCAGGCGATTCTTTTTTTATAAAGATTTTGACATACTAGTTTGAATTAAATTAAAAGAGCAAACTTACAGCATCTAGTAAGTTGGCTGCAATAAGGAGATAAATATTCTATCTATCATTTGAAATTTCTGTTCGTTAACTGATGCTTTGATCCCAGTAGCCACTCATTCCTGTATTTCCTGCCTTTTGGTTGTTTTTCAGAAGCCTTGTAGTTAAGTCCCCGCCTTCTCTGTAAGAAAAGAAATAAAAACAAAAAATGAAAACACATACCTTGTTGGTAGCTGATTGATTCTATGTTTAAGTTCAGTCAAGTAGTTTACCTCTTTACTGTTTTTTGTTTCTTGTGTCGTTATCTTTTTTTTATCTCTGTTGTTTATTTTAAGCTAAGACCTGCTTCACTTTGCTTGGTCTGCTCCATATTACATGAAACAGTCAACTGTTTTTGGGGAGAGTGGCTGTATCAGGAGCTGACGGAATGGGCTGATGGGCTGTTGAGTGAATGGGGAAGACGGAGTGATGTGTAGGAGTTAGAAAAACATGTGCATTGTGTGTATTTGTCCTTAAAGAAATAATCCCTTTTAAATAGGCATGCCATTAATTATCACAAACCAAATCTAATGCAATGTTTTAAGAACCGGACCGGACACGTTGGTTCAACCGGTAGAATCGGTGTTCTGGTGCGGATGATCCACAAAAACTGGATTAGACCAAAAACCGGCCTTGTTTGCCGAGACCGGTGGTTCAACCGGTAAATTTGGCGAACCGGTCCCGATTCTCGACCAACCCGGTTGGTTTTTTTTTTCTTTCCTTATATATTTTTATATATATATATACATATATATCAAAATTTTGACTAAAAACTTATACTTCAAGAGTCTCCTCTCATAACTTGAAGAAATTATGAAAGTCTATTTCTATTTATAAGAAAAAATTGTTCAAAGAGAACCTAAAAATTCATTCTGGGATTCAATCAAATTGTTTGAATCATATTTGATTGGATGGAGAGTTGAAAATTTCATTTTTTTTCAAAATTAAATCTAGCATTCAATCAAATTTGTTTGGAGGGAATGTTAAATTTTTTTAATTTCTTTAGAACTAGTGACTTTTTTTTCCCAATCAATTATGACATCAGTAAATATTATGCAACACTTTTTTTTTTATTATTTCAGTTTTTGTATATATTTTTATTTATTTATAATTTATAATTATATTTTCAATTATATAATATTAATTATGACGTTACGGTTTGACCGCTTCGACTTGACGGTTGAACCAATGACCCATCCACCCGGTCCTTTTTCCGGGTCGCTTATTGGTCCGGTTTTTAAACCATTGATCTAATGCATGCAAACTTTTTAGTTTCTTGAGGCACTTGTGGCATTTAAGTTTGATTAAGTTTTAACTGAGATAGTACCTATTTAGTGGTTTTTGGTGACCTTAGATTTAGTTTGTCTCAGGACTGCAAATGAACTGAGTAATTCACAAACAGGCTCGGCTTGGCTCGTTAAGGGCAGGGTGCAGGTCAACTCGAGTTCGAATAAGCTCGGCTCGTCAAGCTTGGCTTGTTTATCTTTATTTAAATTAATTTAATAATTTTATTATTTATATATTAAATAATATATAAATAATAATAGTATAAATACATTATTTATATATTAAATAATAAAAATAATATTAAAAAAAATCTTATCGAGCCGAGTCGAGTCGAGCTCGAGTCCAGTTACTTATCGAGTCGAGCTCGAGCTCAAGAAACGAGCTCGTTAAGCAAACGAGCTGAGCTCGAGCTTAGCAAAGCTCGGCTCGGCTCGTTTGTAGCCCTACTTTGTCTCCATCGATTTCTTGTTTCTTGTCTGTAGTTTTTTTTCTTAGAAATGCTATCTCACTTGTAAAATACAGCTTTTGCAAAATTTATCAAAAAAAAAGAAAAAAAAAAGATAAAAAGTTTTTGCAAAGATGCAATCGATCTATGTTTTTGATTGATTTGGTCTATATGTATCTGATGGTAATCATTTTTCACAGGATGAGATGGAAAGAAATCGCAAGGCAACATCAGGTAATTTCTAATGCTAAAACAGTAAGACTTTATGTTGCAGCTGTGAACCTTTGGGATGGTCAGATAGGCCCGTTGAATGCCTGATGCTCCCCCAGTAAGTTTGTGTTTGAATCTTAGATCTGGGAAGGGATTTGTGAAGGGGAAAAAAGGCTGGGGGAAAACAAATGGAATATAAGCTAAATTCTTCTTTTCACAGATTCTTGTCTCTATAAATCCCTCCACAAATCCATGATTCAAACACAAAACTAGGATATCTCCCATTAATATGACCGGAATCAAATTCATAGTTATGTTTTAAATGTCTTAAAAAGGTTCCAATCGATTGTGGTTTAGTTTAAGTTGACTTGGGTTTAAGTTGATTAGGTGATTTTAGCGGTTTTAATATATTCAGCTGTCACTAATTTAAATGGTTTGATTTCACAGGCTCCAGGTCGGATGGATCCAGTAAGCGGATGAAAGAAGTTGAGTGTCCTACTTGCACAGTTCATTTACAGGTTTGAATCCTTGTACACAACTGTCCGAAAAATGATCTGTTATTTGTTCTGTTATTCATATTTTATTTTGTTGTCCAAAAATTGATCTGCTATATTACAACGGGATTGTTGCAGGTTCAAGTGCCCAGCACTGGTTCTGAGACCATAGAGTGTGGTGTTTGCCAGCATCCATTCCTTGTAAGCGCCCACTGATATCGCACGCTATGATCACTGGAGGGACTGTACAGTATGTCTCTTACTATTCTTTATGTTTAATTTATATAATAATATCTGTGCTTTTTGTAACTAATAATATGGATTAATATTGGGATTATCTATTGTTTCATTTTATTCTCTTGGTTTATGTATTGTCACCGACTTTTGTTGGTTTGGTGTCAGCCGATTTTGCTTCACTAGCATGTATATGAAAGTTTGTGTTATAAATTTGGATAAATCTATCTTCTCTCTATCCCCCACTTTGAACCGCAAGTCTTTTTTTAAAATTAGACCCTTGTTTTGTCGGTGATAAATATAATAAATTGAATATTATCAATATTTGATGTGGTGTATTGGTTGAACCAATGTGGTTGGACAGGACAGTCCATTTCTTTTTATTTATTTATTTATTTATTGTGAAGAAATTTTTTTGAAGAAATAAATGCGTGGCTTTTGAACTAATAGCCACCTTGGTAAAGACGTATTAACATAATAATAATAATTATTATGTAGTTGGTGATATTATTGTGGTGATGGTTATGATCCTCGTACTATATGGACAACTATTATGCCACGTATGGCTTGTTTAATCACATTACACACAACTCTATTATGATGTATATTTTTTCTTTGGAGGATTGTTGTAAAAACTATCCGTTAGATTTCGTGATGAGAAATGATTCTTGTGACATGGCGGCACAGTAATAATAAATGGTTAGTTATATCGTTTAGGTGAATATTTTGTGATCAAATTATAATTCAACAATGCTTAGTACTTCAAATTTTTCATAGTTTGAATGTCTCAAAATGACGTCGTTTTGGAGGGAAAACGAAGTCGTTTTGATACATTCGAATCATTTGAGTCATACAAATTCAAGCTATCAAACATTTTTTATTATAATTTATGAAAAATTTTATTTAAAAAAAATGAAAGAAGGTGGACACTTGTCTGCGGTGTGGGATGTCTCTGAATTTTTTAGGCTTCCTCTGAATTTTTTAGGCTTCGTTTATTTGGAAAGAAAGAAACATATGATAGAAAATGAAAATGGTAAAAAGTGAAATAAAAGAAATAAAAAATTATATTCTTTCATGCATTTGAACATGTATGAATAGATGGAAAATTTTGCCAAGTCTTGTGGACAAAAATAAATTGTGTGTGTATATTTGCAAGAAATTGTAAACTTGGGATGGTTTGAGATGATCTAATTAAGTGTATTTTTTGATTTTTTATTAAATATGAGTTGGGTATGGATTGAGTTTGAAGTGATGTGGTAGAGAGCTGATATGATTTAAATAAGATGATGTGACTTAAATAGAATAGTGACTTTTTTGATTTCTTAAGTTATGAAAAACAAGACCTTAACTAATAAGCTAATTTAATTTGAATTGTAAAAAAAAAAAAAACTAGTTTACATTATTTTTTATGCCTTATTATCTAAAAAAAAAAAAAAAAGTCATTAAATTTCCCAAAGTTAAACTTGCTTCCATTGGCCCGGTTAATCCGCTCAGCTCAATTCTATTTTTTTAAGACTAAATAAAATATTATATTCAATTCATAATTATTATATTTTTTTTTCACAAGAAAGTTAAAAAAATTTAAAGTTCTTTTCAAATGAGATTTTTTAATCTTAGATTAAAATAATTAAAAAAATTAAAAAGTCAACTCCCTTCTTAAACGAACCTGAATAGAAATGAGTAGACTAGCTAATAAACAACAAAAGGGTTGGCTATATCCGTGTGTGGTGTGATTGTTGTGTTGGTTACCAAATGCAAGATACGTTTGAAATTTTTAAAGAAGAATTGATGGCTCAGTGGTATTACAAATTTAGAATTTATTTAGAAATAACAATCAATGATTTAAATTTATTTCATTTGTGATCTCACACTTTGTTAATTTAATTTTTATTATATATTCATTTTGGATAAATTTTGAGACCCTAATTGTAGGATTTCAAACTTTTCCATTGATGTATTACCACAAAAAAAGAAAAAAGAAAAAAAGAAGAAGTAACAATTGAAGTGTTACATATGATTTAGCTAAAAAGAAAAAAAATAATAAATTGAATAGGAGATAATCTAGGCCCTGTTTTGAGATGTAGATTTTTTGATTTTTTTTGGGATAAAGACTGATAGCTCGAAAATCATGGCTCAAAATCGGCTCGAATTGCAAAACGACGTCGTTTTGCAATTTGATTTTTTTTTTTTCTTTTTCTTTCTTCCTTTTCTTCTTCTTCTTCTTCGTTGAAACCAGAAGAAGAACAGAGGGGAAGAGGAGAGAGGGAGCCTCCGCCGCCTCCGCTCGCCGTCCTCTTCGTTTGGGGAGCCAAAGGTTGGATTTTTATTAGCTAAAATAGTTATAATAAAATAAAATAAAATAAAATATCATATTCAAACTATAATCATTATATTTTTTTTTTCATAAAAAAGTTAAAAAAATTTAAAATTCTTTTCAAATGAGACTTTTTAATCTTAGGTTAAAATAATTAAAAAAATTAAAAAATTAAAAAGTGAACTCCCTTCTCAAACGAACCCTGAATAGAAATGAGTAGACTAGCTAATAAACAACAAAAGGGTTGGCTATGTCCGTGTGTGGTGTGATTGTTGTGTTGGTTACCAAATGCAAGATACGTTTGAAATTTTTAAAGAAGAATTTGATGGCTCAGTGGTATTACAAATTTAGAATTTATTTAGAAATAACAATCAATGATTTAAATTTATTTCACTTGTGATATCACACTTTGTTAATTTAATTTTTATTATATATTCATTTTAGATAAATTTTGAGACCCTAATTGTAGGATTTCAAACTTTTCCATTGATGTATTACCCCAAAAAAAGAAAAAAGAAAAAAAGAAGAAGTAACAATTGAAGTGTTACATATGATTTAGCTAAAAAGAAAAAAAATAATAAATTGAATAGGAGATAATCTAGGCCCTGTTTTGAGATGTAGATTTTTTGATTTTTTTTTTGTTAAAATAGTCAATAAAAATAAAATAAATTAAAACATTAATAAGATAAAATGTCATATTTAAATTATAATTATTTTATTTTTTTTCTCACAATCATTACATCAATTATAAAAAAAATAATTATTATCTCAAATATTAATTTTTTAATTAAGTTAAAATAATTAAAAAGTCAAAAAAATTAATTAAAATAATTAAAAACTCTCAAAAAATTTCACTTAAAATATGACGTAAGAACTCGAAAAATACTCTTTTTAAAAAAAATTTAAATGCACCCTTCGTTTCAATGATGTACAATTCTTCGTACACGTGTCAATCATCCTTTTATTACACCGTCTGGTTAGCAAAAATACTTGAAACTCCAAAGTTTAAAAATCTTCGTGACCCCTAAAATGATCAATCACAAGTGATATGAGCCAATCATATGTTTTTTATTTTTATTTTTTTCTTTCCTTCTTAGATCAATCAGAAGTGAGTGGGGATTGTATTTTATAGGAGTCTATGACATTGTTGATTTGGTTAGTTGCATACTTTGATATGAAAATTTTATTTAGCAAACTATTTAAAAAGGTTAATTTTTTTTTTTTTTTTTTTAAACATGGGAAACATTATATTAATAAAACAACAAGAGTACGTAAATAAGATCTAAAGGGCCATCCTAATCAAACAACAAAACAAAAATTCAACAACAAAAAAACAAATCTACTAAAAAAATAGTTACGATCTAGGAAAAACTACTGATCTATTCAAACATGTGGTCTGAAAAGTAAGATTTGCTTGAAAGTTCGCTGTCCCCGTCGCTGCTGCCCAACTCCGCTTGTCGCCGGTGAAGAAGGAAATACACTCGCAATGGTATGGAAGAAGGCTGGAGAGAGGAGGGAACCATTGTGAGTGTCGAAAAACTAAAAATCTATGTCAAAATCGGAAGAGAAAACTCTCACAATTCCTATTTCGGAGATAAGAAGTTCAAATCTACACTCTAAAACTGTAGATTTGTACTTTAGAAATGTAAAACTACACTTTAAAAATGTAAAATAGATCGTTAGAATTTCATCGAAATATCACCAAAACATCGCTGGAAATCACCTAGAGCGAGTACTCTCCCTCCGTGGACCTTCAGACTTTAAAAAATAAAATAATAATAATAATAATAGAGACAATGAATGTTACAGTATAAGACATTCAAAAATACCAATTATTTTAAAATTGTGATGGTTTCTAAAAATTTAAAAAATAAAAACACAATGACTACTAGTAGTATACAAATTAAAAAAAAAAAATCAAATCTAAATTTGAACGTCATGTTCAAGTTTGTAGGGCATGTAAGTCTCGTTTTGATAATTTTTAATAATTTATTTTATAAATTTTTTCATGTATATTAATTATGAAAAAAATTTAATCGATGGATTAATTATAATCTTTTTATTTTATCGTATTTGTCTAAAAAAATAAATATTAACCCTATTCAAATTTTGATCAAGAAGGATGTGTTAGATTTTTTATATTTGTAGATGACTTTCCCACAATTGAAGGCCTTTCATTGTCTTTTTTTTTAAAATTTTTTTTTTCTCGACACAAAACAAAATGAAAAAGAATTAAATTCTAGCTAGATCAGAGGCTTAGACTCAATGGCTGGTATAATTTGACGAAAAATATTATGGACTCCAAATAAATTACTAAATTTTTTACCAATCCTCTCACATGATTGTAGGATCCACATAAATCACATATGTGTGAGTCACACACTTATGTGAGAGATTTGGTAGAAAAATTTGTAATTTATTTAAAATTCCTAATATAACTCTAATTTGACAGGCGAACCTCCTATTAAATTAAATTTGTACCATGAAACTTTTTGTCGAACTTATGTTCGTTTGAGTATTTATTATCAAGACTTTTTTGACAAAGGAGAAACACAAATTTTATTATTATTAATTTTAAAATATATTTTTTTAAACATTTTCATGTGAGATGTATCCTTACTTTTAACTCTTAATAAATCTGACTCATTAATTTGATTTATAAACATCACTATGTTCATATAAGTAAATAAAAAAATCACTATGATCATAAACAGAATCACTAAATTGATAATCTATTTTGATTCAACATGTAGGTAATCTCACAATTACTTCAAATCATAATGTGGCATAACAAAATATTATTAAATTTATAACTAAAGGCCGCTAAAAATATGTGGGTAGTACTTATTGGTGAACAAGTAAGTTGAGCTCCCCAAAAAAAAAAAGAAAAAGGAAAAGAAAAAAAAGTACTATCAAATTCTTTT